AACTCTCTCGTCCGACCACAGTAGCAGGTTGTTGTTGCTTTCCGTTGTTCTCTTTCTCTTGATTAACGCTTTCCAAGCCAACTCACAATATCCCGCGCACACACGATCATAGATCGTCTGTATGCACACACTGAACAGAAGGGCACATGTCTCGGCATAAAGCCCTGATCTAGCATGACGTCACGTCTTAGCATCCGACGGCGCCAAATAACCACGATCGCATGTCTACCTCCAAATACCATAACAGAATGCATCGGACAGCTGGTGCCCATCATCGCCGTCAATCCGACCCTCCGCTTGGAGGTCCACGTCTACAGGTTAGGGAGGTGGGATCGTTCACTCGTTCCCTCGCGCGTCACGCGTGCATGTGGAGGACACAATTATTCTATCATTGATTGAACCTTTGCCAATACTGCAACGTGATGGGGCACATCGTTCCAGCCGGTGTTGCGGGCTACGGGCAGATGGTTTTGTAATCGGGCCCGAGAGGATGTATGGTGGTGTGGTATGCTCGTTGCTTGTTGTGTGCAAGGTTGGAGAAGGCAGTATATGCACTTTCCACTTCACGTGTTTGAGGATGTGCGGAAGGATTTTGCGATATTGTCCCCCTCTCTTTTTTTTGTGATCGAGTCTTGTAGGCAGAGAGGTCTAGGTGGTGAAAAGAAAGCCATCTACCCCGTCCATGGGGCACATGCGGCATCTATGCATGGTGCTTGTCAACGGACTAACCCAGTTGCTACAAGAACAAGTATTCCGCTGCCAACGCTTTCCGGGTTCCATGGTTCACTATGTACGCTCCACTGTTCTTAATCTACACAACACCACGATATCTCCTCTTTATGCACCTGTTGGCGATATTCTACGTGCGCCGCTGTCCGCATTTCTCTCGCCCCCCCGTCCGGCAACGGAACCCGCCCCTTCATGGCTTCCCCCTTTCTTGTGTTTTGGTGCTTCCACCCAAATCTCGTCGGTGTGTGTACACGTGTATCGTTCGTCCCCCATGGTACTTCCCGTTGCATTGCTTTGGCCGCGTAAAGAATCAGGCGTGATATCGTGTGGTGTTGGAAGGCCTAACCATGCCACAATCTTTCAACACATGGACCACGGAGACATCGAGTCCTTCTGTGAACCCTGCGCGGACCACGTCCACAGCCCAGCACGTGCATTGCGTCTACGGTAAGCCCTAGCCTTAATTCTCGAATAGAACGACTGACGACAGTGACACTCGTAACTCGACTACCGCAGAAGCATAGTCTGGTCAACATTGACGGACCCCACCCCCAGTGTAAGCGGCGAAACGATGGGGCCCGGATAGACGTCAACGTAGCTTCGCCGGCCAACAAATTCAACGATAATGTGGGAAACATGATTTGAGGCGGAGATACGTCGAGGTTCGAAAACCTGCAGGGTATGACGCCCTCGTAGACCATGTACAGCGCAAGCGAGGAAGGGGTGGTCGAGCATGCCTTTGCAGGTGTAACGCAGACGATGGGGTGTCTCACCCCACCCGGACAACTTGCGTTTGTCATCCGAAGACGAAAACAAGGATGGAAAAGTACTCATACGTCGCGCTTCACAAGAGCGGTGACAAAATCTCCCACACGGTACTAACTAATCGCACGGCGACAGACGGTCAAGCACGCCTCGGCCGCCCACGCAGCCAGATCGAGTAGTGCAGAGAAAACCGCGATTGCTCCCGAATCCCCAATCCCGCAGACGAAATCATCGAAGAATGTCACCACTGCATCGAAGGTGTTCCTTGCTTGCCGATTATGCATGTTCCTCAGAAATCCAACGAGCATCAAGAACGCCACCACTGCTGCGGAGTAGCCAAGGTTGTGAAACATCACACGGCTACAGACTTTCAAGAGAGTCGCGACTGCCCAAAGAAGAAGGCCGCCCAGCACTAAGAAAGTCATGGCTCCTATCGAACCACCAATGAAGCAGACACCAGTTTCCACGAACTCCTCGAAACGAAAATCGATATCGAGGGAGCCAGCGGAGTTGGACCATCGCAGTGTGTTTCGATAACTCCCCAAAATGCCAATGAGTGCCAAGAAGGGCGCGACTGCTGCTGAATAACCAATGTAATACAAAACACTTTTGATGGTGACTACCCACGATTTGGATTCAGTCTCTTCTTGATCGCCAGCGGATTGGGGACCATTCGGCTCCTTCGTGTCCTCCAGAGACTCCTCCCTTTCCAAAGGAACATCGTCGGGTATCGTGGTGGAATCACTCGCTTGTGTGCCGACAGACCAAGTCGCTGCTTCCGTCTCAAACGGAGCGTGGTCCGTACCCTTTGCCGCGTCTTCTTCGATTGTCGCGGCTTCTGGACCTGGTGGTGTGTCCTGTATATGGATACGAGGCATGTAGACGAAGGAGCAACGGCGAAGACAGGAATAACGCGGAAATCGCTCGTTTTCGTTCTTGTCGGGAGTATCCGATGAACGTGATCACCGTACCTTCTATCCGCACCCCCCTCTCGACGTTCCGCAATCACAAAAACCGTGATATTCTGAGAAGAGATGGTCAGACCGACCTGCACCTCGTCGGAAGTTTCCGTCCAAATCTTGCGATCCTCCATCAGCACCTCCATAAGGACGTCCAGGTGTTCCCCCCCGGAGTCTGCCGCCGCCAAGATGCGGTCCGATCCTTCGAGCTGTGTCAAATTTGGCACCGACGCGAGCGATAACTAAAGACCAACATGGGATCGGAAGCTATAAAATACGCGGGCCTACGTGAAGCGCTGCTGGGCTTTGCACATTGTGGATGGGAAGACGTTTCTGTCGTTGGTTCGCGACGTGATCGTTACCACGCGTAAACGATCTCGGGAGGGCATCATACACTGAAGGGTCCCTGTTGCAGCACGCCACTCACTCGTTGAATCGTGAGCATGACTTCGCTCCAGCCGACCTCGCCCATGGAGGGCTCGACTCCATCCAGGCAACGTGAGTGCTTCGCCCAATAACCCTGACAAAAACGGTATGTTGGGGTTGCAACGACATCTTCGACCTTCAGGTTCTGTGTCTCTAACCGAGAATGAAGTCGCAATGGAGACGCCAACGCCGCTACATGTACATGATGAAAATTTTTATACCACGGACCATAGGTTACCCACATCTAACGAAGCAGCCATCTAGGCTGCACTCAAGGCCTGCACCCGCCACACCGGGCGGATCTCTACATAGCACCCCCTATACCTGAGGGTTTGCCACAATCCCCGCCAGCAACGCGCATATCACCGTCAGCACCACAACGAGAATCGACAACTTGCCGCTGGCAATTGTTCGACGATACTCTGGCATGTTTTCTCCAATCTTTTTCACCAGAGGCTTCGCCTGCAAGACCATGATGCAGTGTCAGGGGGAGTGAGGAGGATGAGTATCACGACACGAACACTCTAGTTGAGACGTAACCAATGTTAGCACCGTAGAAACGTCGACCCCCCTGTTCCCTAGCTGCAGTAGCTCTGTTCGACCGTCGATAAACCTATTGATTGAAGTAGTGTCCAACAGTTGTCACCCATTTGGTGGTGATCATTCATGCCGAATTGAATTTACCGATGTTGTGAAACGAAGCCTCCAAAGATTGCCGGAAGACAACTACGAGGAACTCGAGTAGCTGCAACTTCTTCAGCAGGCTCAAACCTCTTCCCTCCTGAAGGCTTCATAGCGCTTCCTCATCTCGTCCTTCATGTCCTGGAACCCCACCTCCAGAAGGAGACACTGAAGGTAAGTATTGTCACTGTGCTCCGGTCTCATGACATGACAGTCACCCCACGGATATCTGTGAGACCAGAGTCATGGGTGCGAAACGAGACGAGATGAGCCGTTAGACTTTGGTGAGTCACGGGGACTTTGGGTGGAGGTGGTTGGTCCCAGCCCGTGACCCACACAACGCAATACGTGCCAAATTTGTGCACTACATAGATTGAACACCAAAAGCCAGTTTTGGTTGCACAGGCCAGACACGCACGGGCTCGACCACAGCAATACCACCGGCGTACTGGATCGGGGGCATGAGCGTTTCCGTTGGGGTCGTCCACCTGGCTCGAGATCACTGCGTACGGCGGCGGCCGCCTCTCGCCCAGCCAGATGGGCTCATCGCCGATATTCAGGGCTCCCAGGCATTTTCCCCATGCCCGCTCTGCCCGACATTGTCGTTGAACAACGGAACAGGGATCAACGTGACTCTGCTGTTAATCAGCCACCCAAATAACAGGGTGGCTCTGTTGTTAATCAGTCATAAAGTGACACGTATTGAAAACAGGAAACCTATAAAAGGTGTAAGTACCTAACCCCGAGGGGGCTGGAGAGCTGGGTCGATGCCCATTGTCACCCCACCAAGCCGGGTTCTTGTTCTTCTACCACGTCGGAACTCAACTCAGCATGTGTTTTCGTGCCAATTTCGTAGATTTGGGTACTTCGAGGCCGCATTTCTTGACTGCGGGCGGTACTGAACTACTATGGATGATATACAATGGGACGGAGGACCTTCTTGTCGTGTCTGTAATACAGTACATAGCCTCGTTAACCTAAAATGTTTGACGCCAATAATATTGTATGCCTACATACCTGCACTCGCCCATCCCCGGTAGGTCGAGCTGGCATCCGAACATAGCACACTCTTCCTCATTCTCCTGCCTGTTATGCCATCGACCACCACGCACTGTATCATGTGCGCTTCGTCGTCGACCTCTACTTCTTTCCAGCAGTCATCACACAAATATCGACTCCACGGGCGGTCTTGCCAAAACGTAGACACGAGCTCGTCCATCTCCAGGCGGAGCCCCGGCCAATGGTTCAATCCACTGAGGTTTCCTGTCATGTCCAATACCCCGACCTCGCAAGGAGAGTTCGCGACTATGGGGTAGTTGTTCGGCGAAAACCAGAGGAAGGGGGCTTAACGGAGCGTATTCAGACAGTAGAAACAGGAAGGGACGGAGCGAAAAGTCAGCTGCCAGAGGGAAGAGCATTGAGGAGAGAGAATGAGACGGCATTCATGACACTCCTGTGAGTTTTAGCTTCAGAAATATTTTGATGCTCAGGCCGTTCTCAACCACGATGACGGGCGCCTGCTTACTAAAAGCTTGCCGTGAAGCAATACGCGAGGAAGTTGAGGGTAACACATCGTGTTGCGGATAGCTATGCTGTGCTTTGTGTGGCAGATCGAACTACTACTTGGCCGTGGGGGGGGCAGTGCGTAGCGAGGTGATAGAGAGTAGGGGTGGAATTTGCGCTCTGAATGCGGCGCGACATATTTCGTGCGTGCATCGAGTAATGTCAAAACAAATAAATCCGTATTGTATCAGAATGAGCAAAGCACGATGATTGGTCAATTCCAATCAATTTAGTATAACTGATGTCGAATGACGCCTCTACGGCGGCCTTGTGTTGTATTCGGGCATCGACGCGTATTGGAATGAAAAGCTTCTTACCACAGAATTCGGGTTAGGCGCGTGAAAGCGCGTGAGTGACCAACATGTATGTCATAAAGTCCGCTGACGTGAGTTGGAGCCGCAGCAGGACAACAGGACGACGTGGTGAGCACAACAGTTGAACACCGTGAAGAATGTTCGCGCTGCTGCATACGTTGGTCGTTCATGTGAGTATGTTGGATAATATTCCATTCCACAAACCATGGCACGAAGGGCTGTTGGGGTTTCCACAAATAAATGTAGGCGTTTCATGTGGGCTATGTGCGTTGTCCTCCTCTGAGGACGATTTCCTTCTAAAGGCCCACCGTGCGAGGTATGTCCGATACTAGGTTCGGAACGTTTGCCCGTGTGACGTGGAGGTCATATTCGAATTAAATTAGGACGAGAGTTGTACACATCTTCGACAAAGGTGTTTGTGTGGCGGAAAAAAGTTGGTCACAAAACAGAAGAAGGTGGGTGCATGAATACATTAGTAGATGCCGGTGTGTACACACACCGGAATTTCGAGCAGCCTGTTGAGACCTTGTGGGCCGCAGTTGTGAGCAGGTTGAAGACGTGCCCGAAAGTATAAAAATTGAAGATCATGGGCAGGCCCGACATGGTCTCTTCCATGAATCGGAATGAATGATAATTATCATGGTTGTGCCCTGTACCCACTTTTGTCTACATGTATTTCCCAATGGAAAAACTTCAGAGTAGAGTATGTGAAAATCGGTCGCTATGAAAAGGCAATGAAAGAGAGACAAATGACGACAGCACGTGGTCCAGCACCAGCCATATTAGAACCAGAACGAACGGCGTCCCATATCTCAGATTGCCACATATATACTTGAACAGCCACACGCGCTATACTCAGCGGTTTAGACTTCTCGCGGACCTGTGTATCGTTGTTCCAGCGTGCAGCAAGCGTATAGCCTCGGAGTGTGGACGCGCGATTTTCGTACGGACTGTTAGAGTGAACCGGTCGGAAGATGCTATGACTGCTTGATGACAGACGAACGGCTCCCCAAACGGTCTCCATTTATTTCTGAAAACGACACAAACGTCTGTCTGTCAACACAGTGCGATGGAACTAGATTGTTGGAAATATTCGTCGGTCTGGGGCTGGAGATGCATTGTGTACAAAGTTACATACAGCAGGAGTTGGGTGCTTCTCCCGCCCCCCACCGGGGCAACCGGGGTAGGCCCGCTAAATATACAGACTTATGAATCTGGAAGAGAGTGCTTGAATATATATATGCATAGTCTAGTTCTTCAGTGTTGTAAATAGTAGGTCTGTTGTAGCATCGAGTAGGTATTTACTGTAGCTACTTATCCTGGTGCACGATGCACATTCAATTCGAGGTGTTGCGATCTATTCCGATAAGTGCGTCGTCACCACTTGGTGATGGTGGGGGGTAAAGTTGCATGCCCTGTATTCGACGTGATACGATATATTCCGATAAGTGCGTCGTCACCACTTGGTGATGGTGGGGCGTAAATCTGCATGCCCTGATACCTGGCCACACACACACGGAGTCCGCGCGTCAGTCATGTAGATAAGGTCTGCACTGCGTAGTAGGCTAGGTTAGGAGGACGTTCGATTGCGTCCTGGCCACTTAGGCTCACTATCAGAAGAAAAAGTAAAGGAACAGTCGGTCCTTTAAAAAAATGCACAGAGGCATGTCGACGTTTTTTTTCACGTTTCCGTGAAAAAAGCAAGCATTTTGTTTTTCGGTACGGCTAAATACCCCACCGGTGGGGTATTTACGGTGGGGAATTTTTAAATACCCCACCCGTGGGGAAATTTCTCATAGGCCCCAACGGTGGGGCGGTTAACGCTTAATAAACACCCCACCACCTGTAGCTCGCTTTGCAATACTCCAATCAGCACAGGACTTCAACGAGCGTGTTGCGGCGTTGCAGGGGTATCATTGTATCCATCGTGAGGCCGAAACAGCACAGTTTTGGTGGTCCCACGGTTGGTGGGGAACATCCGCCGCTACCCCACCGGTGTGTGTGGTAGATAACGTTATGGACCCCACGTGGAAGTTTGTGTTGTACAACCTGGTGTTTTGTCAGAACGGTTAGAAATATCAAAGGGGGCACCGTAGGTAAGAGAGAATTGATAGATAAGTAGGCATGTGTAACGGAAAGAAAAGAAAAAGAAAGAGATGCACCTTGCTCACAACAGAAGAAACATCTGAACAAAAGAGCAAGACAACAAACAAACAAGAGGAGGAGTAGAAGAGAGACAGAGGAGGAAGAAGAAGGAAGCGAGTGTACGGAAGGGAGGAGACAGACAGAGAAAGAGAGCAAGAGCATCGTCGGTTCGTTTTTTTTTTTTTTTGAAGCCGAGGTAAGCGTGTCTCGGGCGGAAGCTAGACATGGGTAGCGTGTTCTAGGCTGAAGCAGGGCATGGGAACGCAAAAATGATGGTGGACAATTAGGGTCAAGGTAAAAAAGCGTGTCTCTGGCTGCTGAGCAGCAGGGCACGGAACGACCGGTTGAGCCGAGGTAAGCATGTTGTTGGCGAGAGCGAGACATGCAAAGACCAGAAGGTTGAGGAAAAGCGCATGTTCTAGGCTTGAGCAGGGCATGGAAAGGCTGAATAATGCGAAGGGTGTGGTCAAGGTAAGCGTGTCTCTGGCCGGAGGGCAGGACATGGAACGACCGGTAAGCCGAGGTAAGCGTGCTCAGGCAAAAGCGAAGGCTTGAGCAGAGCATGGAAAGGCATGGAGGTTTGTATCCAAGCCGGGCGACCAGCGGAGTGTGGTCAGCCTGGTTCTTATTACTTAAGGAAGCGTGTGGATTCCTTAGTAGGCTGAAGGGCCGGGAGGGAGGGAGAGGGTTCTACCTCCAAGACCCGGCCTTTGCGCGGCGACACAATAATAAATAACGTTAATGGACCCCACCAGCTGGATCCCCCTCTACAAGGCTTCGATCGACACACAAGTAAACTGCAGGAGTTTTTTGTGATCGATGCACGCACAGCGCACAGCAGCAGGCAGCACCTGGGGCCGCGAACAGGTCAGGGAATCCCGAGGCATAGCGCCAAACACCTGACGTGGGTAAAAGCGAACACTGCCTTCTATTTTCTTGCAGAAGGCTTTTCGTCAACCCCCTTGCCACGCACAGAAAATTCGGCGTTCTTGCGAAATTTCTGAAATGTATGAAAAAGAGCGAACGACCCCTGCTGATTAGATGGTGCAGACAGTTCGGGCTCCCACATAATCTTGTATATGGGTTCACTGTTATAAAAGTGAATATTTGACTGTTATAACAGTGAATTGACTGTTACAACAGTCGGCTCACTCCTGTAACAGTCATCGTTATTTCACTGTTATGACAGTCAGTTCATTCACTTTCATAAGAGTCAGCTGACTCTTATGGAAGTGAGGTGTCAGTTCACACACTGTTATAACAGTCAGCTGACTCTTATGAAAGTGAGGTGGGTGCACATTACTAACAGTCAGTTTGGGGACTTTTATAAAAGTGAAACGACTGTCAGCTGACCATTATGAAAGTGAGGTGTCAGTTCAAACACTGTTGTTACAGTCAGCTGACTCTCATGAAAGTGAGGTGGGTGCACATTACTAACAGTCAGTGTGGGGACTTTTATTAAAGGAAAACGACTGTCGTGCAAGTCACCTTTAACAGCCAGGCGGTAAAAATGACTTTGATTTTGGGGCAGTTCTGCAGTTCTCATCAAGAAACGGAACGATGGGACGAGCACATACTTGCCCAAGCGCATCATTGCATCATAGCGGGAAGCACCGGCGCTGAAGCCACAGCGCGGGCTTCGACGGCGAGTGGGTCAGGGAGCGGGGGCGTGCCGGATCACGAGGTGGGTTCCCCGCAGTGTTTTCCCTCTTTTTTTTTGGTCGACAGACACTAGGGTCAATCTTTGTGCAGCTCTCCTTCGTGCTCGTTGTGGAGCTGCGTCTACTTTGGGTGTGCGCATTGATGGAAATGCTAACTACGCCCCCATACGTCATTCTCCATTCTCGCTTCCGCGAAAGATGTACCATCTTCCGCAATACTTCCACACTCGATGTGTACCATCATCATGCACGCATCATTCTAACCTACAGTACGCGACAAATGTCCCACTTTTATCGTCGGCGCTTGTCCCATTTTCATGCACGGGTGTAGAGGATCTTGAGCTTTTC